AGCGCGAACGTGATTAGGTATGAACGATTGATAAGAGAAGAAGAGCAGATAAAAAATTCTAGCAAGGGGACTTATTAGAGAGACCCAAATTTTGATGTTCATACCATTAATAACGAGTCATACGATCAGATCGAAATGTGTTTGGTCGAATTAGTCAAAGGAGACACGTATACTTGTCCTATAATGGCTAAACCTAGACCGTCGGGTAAGGATGAGCCTATAAAAGATGAAAACAAAAAGGCTAGAACGTTTTCGTTCGATGTAACCAAAGTTGACCTTATATTTGATAAATTATATAAGGATAAGCAGATAAAGCTAAGCGATAAGCATAAATTGCCAAACCCTGAACAAATTAAGGGTAAAAAATATTGTAAGTGGCATAATGCATGGTCACATTTGACTAACAATTGCTTGATTTTTCGCCATGTGTTACAGGATGCCATTGAATCAGGACGAATTACGTTCGATGATAAGAAAAAGATGGCAGTGGATGAAAATCCTTTTCCACAGCCACTTGGAGTGAATATGGTGACGTCTGGTTTCAAAAATAAGTTGCCAAAATTCAAATTGGTTATAGATAATGGAGAAAAAGACCCTGGACCACATCCCAGTGTCTTCAAGCGTATTAAAGGGAATGAGCCAAAAAAGGATGAAGATATCTTGTGTGCAAGATGTAAAAGAGAAGTGAGTGGGAATACGGAGAAACCAGGGATATGGCAGCATCCCAATCGCCCTACTTTCTTCCCAAACACTCAGTCTGATAGAGGGCGAGGTACATCGTTCTATAAGGGACAGTCTTTTGAGAGGCAGTTCAGGCCAGTAAATAATGGGAGGACATTCAGGCCGCAACCTCGCCGACCAAATGTATGGCATTCCTTCCAGTATAATGCAGGAAAGGCGATACCCTTCAACGAGATGACTAGAACCCAACAAAGGCATTTCCAACGAAATTATGGACGAATGATGAGGCAACAATAGGGAGTGCCACGTCCTAAGGCGCATAAACTACTCGAGGTAGCCAATCAAAATGTTCTCAAAGATAGTGAAGAGACTGGTACAGATGAATCAATGAAAGAGTTGCCAGAAACTTCTTCTGGAAGATCGAAGTTTGAGCGAGACAGAAGGGATGGAGAAGATCCAGATCAATCCCATACTATTCAGTTTGGTACGTTACCTCCTGTTGTGGCTAATAACTATTTACTAGCCAATGAGTTCAAGAATAAAGAGAAAGAAGAAGAAGAAAGAGAGGATAACGAAGGAGAAGTATGCGTGCTGGAATATAAAGAAGGCCAGACTTTTAGAGAGGCCTACAATGGTGAAGAAGATGATGGTATGACAGACATTGAAGAGGAAATCGACTTAGAAGCAGAAAGAAGAAGGAGAGGAGTATCGTACAATACTCTGTTGAAGCAACTACATCGAGAGAGAGTTCGTGAAGTAGATTTATTGAGAGAGCTATCTGGGCGTTCTTTCGATTTTTACGTGCTGTACGGGACGCCCAAAAAAAAGAAGAGAGTGCCTCGCTCTGAAAAGTATGGATCACCTCTAAGAATAATGACTCCTCCCACAGGTTGGGCAACGGACGAGGAAGCATCAGAAAACAGTAAAAAGGAAATTCAGGAGACAGAGGCTCGGTGCGATATGCTACACGTTGACTTATCACAAAAGGATAACTCGGCAGAGAACCAGCAAGAAGTAGAAATAGAAGCTGCCGAAAAGATTATTTTTAAACGGCCAGCCATAAAATTGACTAAACACTTGAGGCCGTTGTACGTTAAAGCTCTAGTTAACGGCATACCTGTGGCAAAAGTACTTGTCGATAATGGAGTAGCTATAAACACCATTCCATCTAGGATGATGAGGAGATTTGCAAAGACAGAAGGGGATATGATTCCGACAGAAGTCATCCTTACAAGTTTCAATGGAGGAGCAACTGCAGCTAAGGGAGTTATGCCATTGGACATAACTATAGGTACAACTACTAGGACCACAGTATTCT